GTGATCGGACGAGAACTGGTGTATTCAACGTGGTATGGTCGTTGGCGATGAGTAATGAATATTTTTTGGTATTTACCATACATAAACAGAATTTTATTTATATTTTATTTTGTATAGACCAAATAAGTATATGAGTTGTGTAAAAGTTAAGAAACTCTTACCTAGATGATAAATTAATTATTCGAATACGCATGAAAATTTTAGAAAGGTTAAATAATAATTTTACATACGTACAATCAATAAACAATCGTACACCGTTTCCTTGTATTAATCATTTCCTTAATCATATACACGACGATATATATATCTTACGTATTTATACGTATATATACGTATAAATACGATGATCTACCTAAAACCAAGGTAATCTTATCGCTATACACATGTGTTATTTTATAACTATGGTTGCCATACGTCCCGGTACACCGGAACATGTCACCAGTTTATGATTTCGGTCCCGGTAGTCCTATTAAACCTTCCAAAAGTCCCGGTTAAATATAATTAAGTTATAAAAAACATCAATTATATTTTAAAACGTTTTACTCGAAAACGACAAAAACATTTAATTTCACGTCGAACACTCCGTTTTTATGAAAATATTACATAATAAGATAAAAGATGATGTTCAGATTTTATTGTTAATAAATTTATTTGATGAAGATGTCGATTATTATTATGAAACACCAAAGGAAAATTTTAACAGTAAAGTAAGCCTATCATAAAATTTGATGTATTATCGTGGATGGATCTTGGTTCTACCATGCAATGGGAATACATTGACATGCAATGGGAATACATTGAAAAGACAAAAACTTACCAGTATTTAAAATAAAAGCGTAGATATTGATATCATGGATAGTTGCTATGAAGAAATATTTTAGGTAACTACCTTAAAGATTTCATTAAAAAACCAAAAGTTGACGAAGATTCGAATATAAAAAAAAACATGCATGACAAATGGTTACATTTCTTTCAAAAAACTGATATGTTGAAAAAAACATAATTTAATTTTGATGTGTCAACTCTTATATGCCATTTCTGGTCATAATGCTAAAATTTGAGAGGATATTTTAACATAATTTAAATATAATAATATAAATTATAAATTTAAATATTATGTTTAAATAAAAATTTTCATAATGGCCCGAATTGGGACAAATATCGTAACTGTCTTCAAATAGAAACTATAATATAATATCATTCAGTTCAAATATAATTTTAAAATTACTTGTTCGGAATTTCATACGTACGTCAAGGAGAAACCAGATTTATTGAAACCGGTGAAAAAGTTAGAAAACTATATGCATTGCATTGTGTTTTAAATTTTATAATTCAAAATCATTAAAAAAAAAAAAAAAGCTGTGGAAATTATTTTTGTAAACGTCCCAGTCAGTACTTGAACTTTTACGGCAACCCTAAATCTATAACTATTATATCCGTGTACCAACAAATAGTCTTAAAGGAAGTATATACCAGTAAACACACAAGAACGTAAATTATGTTTTGAAAATTTTGTGATTTAATATTTGCCCACGTAAGCACGTGCACCGTATTTTATGTGTCGTGCGGTACTTCGATGTTATCATTGTGCAGAATGTAGATGAACCGTACATTTTATCGAATACTCGTCCCGTGAATAAAATGTCCAGAACACAAGACCATTCTCGTGAAATGTGTCGTCTGCTGCGGACGATTGGTGTAAATGTGTGTTCGGATAATCGTCTCGAAGTCCGCGCGACAAAAGGATTTCGCTATAGAATAAAATGTATAGTTCATTCGGAAATCATAAGACTTAAACTTGTCGCGATAGTAACGGGGTATTCGGTTCGACGATGGTTCTAAGACAATAAAAGCAATGGACAATGGAGAACGTGTTTTCAATTATTACAGCGATGATGTATGGTACATGTTGTTTTCGACCTATTTGATGAACATTAACTTTAACCGACTTAATGAGACGTTGTAATTATAATTTATTTTGTGTAAAATTAAAAAAAAAAAAAAATCCGGTCTTATGTCTGTACAGCGTTCTTAAGGTTTCTCATTAATTACAGCTGCGGACATTGCGCTTTGACGGTTGAATGTGTGTATTGATGTTTCAAGTTAAAGATCTTTTTCGCTTCAAACACGAGATAATTTTTAAAATACTTATTTTCTTTGACCTTTTTGTATTTCAACGCAATCTAATGAAAATAATGAAAGTTGGACGCGACGAGATAGTTTTATCGTCGGGCCTTCAAAAACTAGTTCAAATCATATTACCTATAATTAGCACAATACTGTACATGATACACGATTTTTTTTCTCTCTACATATATACTAAACATATTCAATTTACAGATGCAAGTAGTGTATGCAAGTAGTTTCAAAGTGTTTAAAAAAATAATCGAAAATATTATTATGATAAAAATTTTAACTATTAAAATATACATAGTTATTGTTAATTTTTCTATTAACGGGTTTTCCAAGTAGTGCGCAGTCACGCAAACAATGGTCGCACAATGCTATTTACGAATTTTCATTTTATGAATAGGTACAACTAACCATGAGTATCATTATGATTTTTATACCAGAAGGAACGGTCAATTTCCGAATTATTCAGTTTTTATGATGCTTATACGTGATGCGATTCGAGAAATAACGGCAAAGAAGTAATTTGATTACAATTAACAATAAAAAAAAATATCATTACTTCTTTTTACATCAAAAAGTAATCTCAGGCAAAATATAAAACTATGTGGATATCTAATAGTTAATAGTTTTACAGACACACACGAACACAAACGTATGATAAATAAAATATAAAAATTACTCGTTTTAGTTTTAAGCCGTTAAACGACGCATTACTTACAAACATCACGCTCGGCAATATAATACGTATTCTTACAATTTATACTTGTGTTTAGATAACGTGACGAATTGAAAATATTTTTTTAAAACAGTGTGATTCTTGGCCCATTTCGTTATTTAAATTGGAATACCAACCAGGGACTTTTTTTAAAACGCACAATGCATTCAATCGATAATATCTAAAACTGGGAACGTAATGCTGTTAAAAACTCGAGAAAATGTCCTAAAATTATGTCTTTAATTTTTATATACGTATAAGTATATATATGAGTTATAAATGATATACTTAAATTAACACTTTTTCTTTTGAACAATTTCCTCTGTTTAATTAAACGTTAAATTGCTTTAATACCGTCAACCTATGAATTTCGTGTTCTAGTCAGCTCGCTATAGTAATTCTTATACTTACCTCTAAATTGATCTCGATACGCGAGAACACAATGTACCCTTTTAGCTCTTCTAAGTTTATTTCAGTACAATGAACATAAATTAACTTTACATTTTAATACAATTATTTTTCTTTTCAATTCTTACAGCCTTAACATTGCAATAGATAAATTATAATTATGTTCACTGCTTTATAATTTATATATTCTGTGTAAAAAAATCTAAAATGTTTAAAAGTTGGCTCCTGGAATAAACGTTATCGAGACCGCGTACCTAATTAACGTCTTAGTTTTAGTTTTTATAGTTGATTATCCTTCCTCATCATTTAAAATTATGTCTTCGTTACAAACAGTGTCAAACATTTAAATATTTATGATGGTGAGGGTATTAAAAATTTCCTCTAAAATTTTGTTAAAATGTGCAGCGTTATGATTATCATAGCTTCTAATAAATTAATCAATTACTTAATCGTAGATAATTTATTATAATAATTATTCATAATCTTAGAGAATGAATATTGCTCAAGAAAAATATTCGATTTGAAAGTAATAATTAATAAATTAAGCAAACTATTAGCACAATATTAAAACATGAAACAAACGATTGAAGTTACGACTGGGATAAGGCCCAGGGATACTTGTAATATATTTTTATATGAGCATACGTGGCATAAGAGTTTTGTATAAAGTACTTTTTCCTCGCCATTCCCGTACAAATACAGTGTACAATCGACTCAAATCGTACCATGAAAGCTTGACCGATCTTAAACGTCAATTTCGATTAGTATTTGGGTTTTGCTTTAAGCAATCTATATAATTGTTGAAAAATTATTTTTTAATACAACGAAACATGGGATCGAAAATCCACGCAAACAAAGGCAATCAATATTTACTTTACATTAATTGTTACTAGTTGTATATCACGATGGATCTTTGTTATTATAATTTATTTACATGACTATTAATCAACGCCATTACCTATGGTTAATTGCAGTCGAAATGCACACCACCTAATTTATTGATATTTTAATATTTTAATAACTTATATTATCATGCATATTCGTATACGATTGGTGAGGGGTGAGAGAAGCAATTTCCCTCTCTTTAATAATTTAACGAGGCAACGCCTCCTTGGTATTTTGTAAATTAATTAGAAAAATATTAAAGAAACGACATTTTAGATTTGTAAGAATTATTTTATCAATATATATATATATACAGATATAATTTTTGGAACTATTAACTATAAATAAAAAGACTTAATAATTTAATGGAAATTTATTTGTTCAACGTCATTTGCCATCACAATGCATCATGATGCAGATTAATTATATCTAAGGATTATAGTCTTTAAATATACGGTATATTAACAAAAATAACGTTTGCCCTCCATAAAAATTGACCAAGTTACGCTCACATAAACACGAGAAATGTTTTTGTTCGGATGCCTATTATTAATACATACTTATGTCTCGACATTGTTCCGGTTCCTTATCATTTTACCGACAATTCTATAAATCGCTATGTGAAAATATTATTAATTTAAGCGTTCTTTCTTAAGTATATCTAGCGACCGGTATTATCCCCCAAAAGAAAAATTTATGCCACCCAGAAAAATGTTATTTATCCATTCATTATTACCCTTATTGCATAACGTGCACCGCATATCCCTCCTTCCCTGAAAATTTTCTATACACCCCCTCCCCCGGGATAGAAGGTCTGAAATGAACACTTGTCATGATTTTACTACAAACTTATTTATACCTGTTCAGATGTTGTCGCTCCCGCTGCATTGTTGTTTCACCAATGTAATTCAACATTATTTAAAAAAGGTTGTAACTGTGAAATTATTATACGAATATTGTGTTAAAGAAAAACAAAATTATTTAGAAAAAATTTAATTTAATGTGACCGTTGCAAGAACCATGGGACCGGCTATTGTTCTTGTTGTGAAGATTTCAATGACCTTGAGCAAATTGATACGTGTCGCTGGTTTCCGTTTTCGATGAGAACGTTTTATTATACTATTCTGGCTACTTGTATTATAATAATTGTTATGCAAAATATCATAACATTATCATCATCGCTTTTGCTTGATAACTGTTTAATTGCCTACTGTCATTGTTATGCAACACGGAGACAATCCGCTCGGGCGAACGACCTTTTTGACCGACGATAAATAAACAATATAATAGCAATACGCATATATGAATATTATAATTATTATTATTATTATTGTTGTTGTTGTTGTTTTGTGTGGTAATTGATTGTCCATAATTACTATATAATATATAGTAGCTCTACGTTTAAATGTGTCTATTATTGTCGGTTAGGGAGGAGAAATCGATTTTCGCTATTGCATAATACATCTAAAACGCTATTCAAGGGCTTGTGAAAAATCACGATGGGCTACGTGATTATTAACTTAACCACGTTACTTGCCTAAAATACAAAAACTGATATTATTGATTTTAGTTTTGTGTTTAAAACAAAGAAAAAATAATATAAAATTGCTATCGATAATTTAAGACTACCTGTAAATTACGTCTTATATGTCATAAATACAACAAAACTTTACAAGTATTTAATATAAAATTTTATATTAAATAATATATTAATTTTTAATATAATATTTAATTTTTCAAGTTGCGATTTTATTGACATTGCATATACCTACCCGGTAATGAATTTTTAAATCGAAACCGGTCATACTTTGCAAATAATATAATACTCTAGGCTAAACATTTATTTATTTATTTGTATGTTGAAATTTTATGTTTATACCTAATATAAAAGTTACAAATAATTAAGTTTAATGTAAAATTTGAACGGTGTGTAAAATATTATAATCAGAATTATAATAAACTATTACACTTAAATATTTAACTATGACATCCAGTTAAAATAATATAATATGACTGTTAACAAGAACAGGATATTATACTCGTATATTATTATTATTTGTACGTGTCAATAGTATTATTTATATCAGAAGCGAAACTAGAAGGAGGAAGACGAGGATTTAACGCCGAGTGTAAAATTTTAAAGGGTGTAATTTTTATTGTATTTAATCTATTACTGATTACTAGCTTGATATTTTTAACTTTGTTACTGAAAATGTGTTTAAAACTCACTAAGTGTGATTGCTTGCTAATTATAAGATAACAATTCTAGGGAAAGTTATTTAATTCTTGGTCTGTGATGAGGTGCAATTTTAAAATTTCCCCCTGACGCATAAATTTCTATTTCTGTATCTGATTCCTATGTTGTTCAAGTTGATAATGAGTTATTCACTGGAAAAGTTATTTTTTGTTAGAATTGCATACACGTTAATGTCAGACTATTATAACACAGAGCTATATGAATATAGTTTAACGAGAAACTATCCTACAATACAATAACAATTGTTTTCTAATTAACATAAGTTTATTCATTGTTTTTTATTGCTACAGAAAATAAAAAATAAAAGTCGGTAAAAAAAGGATTTCATTTTAGGCTTTGGGTGTTATTGTGAAAATAAACTTTTGTAACTATTTCAACTTTTAAAATTTAAATAGATTTTTAAAATAATTTTTACATATTTTATAAGTTTGGAACTATCCAAAAATTATTAAAAAAAAAAAAAAAAAAATATGTGCTGTAGGGTTAAACATACGTGTAAATGAATACGTAGGAAATCGTTCTACATGAGTAACATATATGGGTCAGGCACGAAATATTTAATAATTACATATCAAAAAAAGAAAATATCTGCAATAATTTGTTACTGATGCGATGGCTGCTCATTTTACTCGATGATATCCATGCTGTCTGAGATAACATATTCACCGTACGTCTCAACTTAAATCCGTAATGACGAGTTATTATGATATACATGCTCATAACTTGTATAACATTTATTTTTTATTTTACAAGTTATAAATAAAAAAATCTGTGTCCTAAGGTACAATATACATATGTGCTACAGAATAAATCATGAAATTAGTGAAGGGATTTAACACCTAGAGGTTGCATTATCTGTTGATTTGTTTTATTTTTAATTTCTTTCTATTTTTTAAGTTTTAATTATTTAGTAGGTTAGATTCTCTGCACCATTTTCTTTTAAGTGTATTAGTGTATTATATTCAAAACGCATTTCCGTCGAATCGCTTTTATCAAACTATTGTTTTTATAATGATTTACAAATTATTTTTAAGACGATTCAAGCCATCACGCGTCAGATTCCGAATGTATACATTGGAGAGGAAGCCAGAGCGATATTACTCAATCTCTTGGATTTCGAGTACGTACTTTACACGAGCGCATGTAAATTCCGCCATAAGTACATTTTTTTTACAGTAAACCCCACCAGGAAAAAAAACAGGTAAAATTGAGTACATGTAAGTTCCGCCAGTGAAAAAAAATCAAGTAGGTAGCAGTACACAATTATAATAGGTATATTATTATTATTAAAAAAAAAAAATTAGCTATTTTCATAATAATTATTAATAATCTATCACATAAATATTTAAATCATAATAAATAATCGTTATAATAATCCTAAAATATATAGTTACTTAATTTTATAATATGCAAATTATAATGATGTATATAATTAATCCATTGGAGTTTCTATTTATAGTATTCAATAAATCATTTTTTTTTTTTTGAATTTTTAAGTTTATCTATTTGAGGAGAATTCCATTATATAAGTTTATGATATAAGTTTAGGTCTGAAATTCGATAAAAACTTAAATAAAAATATAAACATTGGGGTAACTTTTATAAAATTAATTTTTTAGATGACTATGAAAGCACTCACAAGAATTTGTAGTTTGATTCGTCAATATTGACGTATGCCATCACAACGGATATCAACATATTTAATATAAGTGCTAGTCAGGGGTAGCCAACCGACGGAATTTATGTGGCACCTTTGACGTTATTGAATGGCACACTATAGCATCAGATAAAATAACACATAATTTTTAAATATTTCCAAAACTATAATTTCCAATTTTAAATAAATCTTCAGTCATAAATATTAAACTTTACAAAAATTGTGTCAAAATAATATAAATAACTTCAAATAATCATTTAAAATATTTTTAAATTCGATTATTTGTATCACAGTGGAATGTTCCAATTATTATTCCAATATGAGAATTGTTACAAAACAATAACAATTCGTAATATAATGATACGAACTTTTAAAGAAAATGTTAAATCTTTTGAGTATTTTGCTTGAAGTCTTCAACATTGCACGTGTCTCCAAACTGCTTGGTAAAATGAAAAAAACATCCTCTGATTTCTGTGCTTAAAAAATGTTTAGATATCGAATTAATTGCAGCTTTTCAAAATCGAATGTTGTTTTTGGTTGAAGTCCTTATTTTAGGTTTTCAAGCGCTTCTAATAAACGATTATAATTGTTTTTATTTTTATCCGATAGTAAAACAAAAAAGTACGTTACTGTTTGCACTCCATGAATTGTATATATATATATATATATGTAAATAAAGTGGGATTAATGACATAAGCGCAATTAGGCTAAGGGAGCTTAGCCCCTTACAACATCCAAATTAACCCCCCCCCATATTCACCATCATGATTAAAACGAAAAATTAAATTGTTTCTACATAAAATAATAATTTTATAATAACGTTTAAAATTGTACTAGTTATACCATTTATTACAAATGGTATTAACTGTTTCGTTCAGTTCAGCGACATATGAACGTATATTCTCATCGATGCTAAGAATAAAAACATGGCTAAGAAGATCCATGCTTCCAGATAAATTTTCCAATCTATCATTTTTGCAAGTAGAGAGAGAAATGTCTAATAAAATATTTACAGAATTTATTTTAGATGTATTCGCCAAAGGCAACCGTAGATTTTCTTAAAAAAAAAAAAAAATGTAATGATTAAATTTTAAATGTATGTAATAAATGCAGAGGTATTACAAAGATAGTATTTAAGATAGTTTTTATTTGTTAAAAAGCTTTGTTGTGACAATTTATGTATAGGACGGAAGATATTAATCGAAAATGTGTTTTTAAAAATTTAGTGCCTCAAATAAAAATTTCAAACTGTGCCTATGACTAGTGGAAAATATTCTGTCAGCTAACCAATGTTCACAATTTTTCCTGAGATTTAAGTTCTTTCATGTTGAAAATATTATTGTACGTTTATCTTCTGGTCCACTATCATGGAATAAAAATGGTTTTCCTTCAGAAATCAATTGGTAGAGTTCAGGAATTTATAAATCAGATAAAGATTTTGGATTTTGCAAGTAACCCAATTTCCCTGTTATTACGTCTGCGAATAATTTTTTTAAAATCGATATATTTGATAATTGACCCGATGCTGCAACTGAAACTGATGTTGACGCCAAAGCAATAATAGCATTGTTTCCCATATCATAATTGTTCATTGCTATCGTTTTAATATTATTTACTACCTTTAAACATTCGATCTTACCTGCATCAAGTACATGAGTATGAGATATTTGTTGTTCTTTGTTGTTTGTCTGCATGTTTTTTTTTTTTTTTTTAATTTCCTAATCATCTTATTCGCTTTTCCAGTTTTTTTTTTTTTTTAAATGTGTAAAGATAGTTTTTATATATTAATTTTTTTTTTTTGGCCACGTTCACTAATAATAAACTATGAAGATATAATAGATATGAAACAAATTTAACATTCTCATAGAAAAATCAATTTTGTTACAATTGTCATACATTAATCGTATAAAAAAAATGTTGGCCAACTCTGTGCTAGGTAATAAAATACAATTGGCGAAGTTTACATCGGACCTTTTCATTACCTTTTTATCTATTCGATATTCTGACAGATTCTACACAACCCTTTACACGATTATTTTACACGAGCTATATCGTTCTACATCCAGGTGAACGCGAAACCGTAATTAATAATAATATTTACTCATTGTTTTTCTCCAGCCGGCTAGCTGCGGCTTCTCGATCAATTTACTATAATTCTATTACCGTATCATTTA